ACATGAGTAACACTGCCACACACTTCTGCTGCCATGGACTGAGCCACTGCACCATGCCCACCTGCAGATCATTGACCCTGCGCCAAACATACCTTTCCACCCTTGTTTCTGTATGCATAGTGTCAATGGCAGCAAGAAGTAAACTAAGGGGCTGGCACGATGGTTCTGTGGGTGTGCCGTCTAGTTTTGTGTCAACTTGACACAAGTTAAAGTCACCTGAGAGCAGACGAAATGGAGGTTTTGACTAAGAAAATGCCTCCAGAAGTCAGGCTGTAGGCAAACCTGCAAGGAACTTTCTTAATTAGGGATTGATGTGGGAGGACCCAGTCCATTGTGGCTGGTGCCGCCTGGGCTGGTAGTCCCAGGTTCTGTAAGAAAATAGGTTGAACAAGCAATGAGGGGTAAGTCAGTAAGCATCACTCCTCCATGACCTGTGCATCAGCTCCTGCCTCCAGATTCCTTCCCAGTTTGGGTTCCTGCCTTGACTTCCCTCAATGGACTGTAACTGGGGATATATAAGAGAAATAGACCCTTTCCTCCCCAAGTTGCTTTTGGTCATAGTGTTTCATCACAGCAGTTGAAACCCTAACTAAGACAGTGGGTAAATGTGCTGGCTGCCAAGCCTGATGACAGGACTTCAATTTCAGGGACACACAGAGTGCAGGGTGAGAACTGATTCCTTCAGCTCTGCTTAGACCATCACACATGCTGTGGCACACACATGCCAACACACGTAGACACACATAATAACTGTAATAGAAAAAGGGAGGCTGGAGAGATGGCACAGTGGTTAAGAGCACTGGCTGTTCTTCCAGAGGTTCAATTCCCTGTACCCACATGGCCACTCATGATTGTCTATAACTCCAGTTCCAGGTACCCGACACACTCATATAGATATACAAGTAGGGAAAACCAATGCACAGAGATGAAAAAAACAATAATAAAATAAGAAGGAGGAAAAGAAAGTAATCCAATTTATGGCCTGATTTTCAAATATTCATGTGTTTAGTAACTGAAGTTATTCTTGAGTTTCTGTATGAAAATGTGCTTCTTCTGTCTTTGATATGACAGCCTGAAGGTCTTAAGACAGCAAGCCAACATAATCTGCACAAATGTAGCAAGATGTTAGCTATAGAAGCATACTGGCACTGACTAGAGTAGGTGTGTGTGTGAGTGTGGTACACACATGCCACAGCATGTGTGGGGAGGTCAGAGGTCAACTCTCTGGAGTCAGTCCATGTCTGTCCTGGTGCAATTTGGTGATGGAATTCAGGTGGTCAGATTTAGATGGCAAATACCTTTACCTGCTGGCCATCTCACCAATCCTACTTCAAGTTTTCCATAGTAAGTTGTTG